ATGTTATGCCCATGTATCCTACATGACTTATTTTGTTATGTTTTATATTTTAATTTTATGAGAATTGTTAGCATTTAAAAAAAAAAAAAAAAAATAGTAGTCATGTCATACATATCACTTCTTAAAACAAACCATGGTGGGCTCTTGGAAGAGGCCCTCATTAGAATTTTCATGTTCTTGCTGGGTCCGAAATAGCTGGTTTAACTAAAAGACATAATGATGTCCTCAACTCCTTTTCAAATTCCGACACAACAAATAAACTCCCGAAGTTCTCTAGCTTATCCTAGGCCTTCACTTGAATTTTTTATCTTGCCCGCATCCCACAAGGGTGAGGCCAGATTGGGGCACATACACTTGTGAGACTCATTATCACAGATTGTACCACAGGCCAGACAGGCCCACCATATGACAGGGGACTCATTTTAACCTAAACTTCCATGCAGAACAAACCCCCTCGGGTGGAGCTGCACACTACTCTGTTGGTTGTTGGTCTTATTCCTACTGGTTTGGGTGCTTTCACTGGTGTGCAACTGGACACCCAACCCCCCGGTAGATCACTGTTTCAACCCATTATGACAAATACTGAGGCCATCAGAGTCACATTAACTTTTTTGTCAACCCATCAGTTCTACTTACCCACAGGCTCGTCCCATACTGTTGTGTTGAAACCTAGGCATCAAAACATGGAGCACATTCCCCTGCTATCTTTTTGGTCTTGGTTGCTGGGGTCGCCATGTCATGTGTAGAAACTATGCCCGAAATTGTGTGCTTTTCTCCTATTCATCTGCCCACATTTTTGCTCAGATGATTTTCAACAAACCTTCGAAGGGTAGAGGGAGTTTCCTTGGCCCACAATTTTTTAACTTTGGACGTATTTCTTTATATGTTTATTGTCTCCTTAGAATCATTTTACTGGGCTTTTCTGGGCATATCATATTAATTTATAAGGATTTCTAGAACTTGCATCAAAAATACATAGCATCGAATAAGACATGCGCCTGCTTTCTGAGAGTCCAGTGTATTTTCCATTAGAATGGACAGTCTCTGCTTTCTCTTTTCCTTCCTCTCTCACCCTCTCCTTTTACTTCCTCCTCCTTCTCTTCCTCCCCATTGAGGTCAGCACATTTGAAATACAGGTTGGGTTTTCTCAGGCCCAGAAGCAGGGCTCCAGTCACCCTTGACGTGGTTTCCAGTCTACTCTTTCCTGCATGCCAGGTCCTCCCCAGGCTATCCAGATGTCTCGCCTTATTCAATTCTTCGCTCCTGCTGGCCATTCCCTATGGGACAGTTGATGGAGCCAGCTTGCTGGCCCATGACCCTCCCGAGCGCACACGGACTGTGCAGATATGCCACAGGACCTCCTGTCGTCACTGCATGACGCTCCCTGGAACTCGTCGCCTGCTTTAAGTCACCAATTAAAATCCCAAGGGGAGACCTATTTGGATAATTCCCTGGACCCCAATAAAGTGTTGGCCCACAAGGCCTCCTCTCTCCTCCTTGTCCCTGACTTCTTGTGTGTGCCCCTCCATAAGTAATATCAATCCTTTATTTCCATCTTGTTTCTCTCCTAATCACACTGGAGGGAGCTGTCCATCTTAAAGACCTAAATTAAAGGCAATGCTCTAGTGATAGGATGGGAGTGCCTCTCGAGACAAGTGCAGGGTATCCTCTGAGCAGCTGTGGCTCATTAAGATCCTGTTGCCATGGGCAACCACCTGATGGAGGGGGTAATGTTCGGCAGCAATTCAGCAGCTTTGTGCTGCTTTGTCACATCTGCAGAGTGCTGCCAGGCTGCCCACTAAACTGTACTGCCTGGGGATGCGCTTAAGGTGGTTCCAAAAGCCAATGCCACCCCCTCCAAAGGGGATTCTTGGTTAGGCCAAAAGTCTGGTGTGTTCTGGACCCCCCACAGTGGATTCATCTTCCCGACAGCGTGAGGTGTGACATTCCCCATCCTTTTCCCAGGGGGTACCATGGTGTAATTGATTGACGCTTCCTTCTGTCCCCAGCTGGACAGTGCCAGGAAGCTGATGGTCATTCTCTGTGCCCCCCCGCCACGTACAGACCCTCAGACTGGGAAGTGGTTCTGCGTTGGAGATCATCGGTGCTGACTGGCAGAGCCCAGCCCATGGGGGACCCCTTCTTGGGCGCAAGGCCCTACACAGATGTGGCAATCATGGCAGGCAGGCAGATCCTGTTGTTGCTGCATTCCTGCTGCCAGCCTCAGCGTTGGGACATCTGGAGCAGGAAGGAGGCTGCCTAATCCTTGGCAACACGGAGTGTCACCCCTCCTACCCTGTTTTTCCTCCAGTAACATAAAATCCAGAAGGTCGAGGCAACAGAGAGGCTACTCAACTACCACCAGTGCTTGTCAAGTAAGACAGTCCAAGAAGATAAGGGAACAAGCCAGGCAACAAGTGGCTCATGCCTGTATTTAGCACTGCTGGAGGCTAAGGTGGGAGACGCTCAAGATCAGGAGTTTTTTTTTTTTTTTTTTTTGAGACAGTTCCACTTTGTTGTCCAGGCTTAGGTGAGTGCCGTGGCGTCAGCGCTAAGTCACAGCAACCTCAACTTCTGGCTCAGCGATCCCTCCTGCTAGCCTCCGAGTAGCTGGGACTACAGGCATGCGCCACCTGCCCCGGCTAATTTTTTATATATATACTTCAGCTTGCCAATTAATTTCTTCTATTTATGAGTAGAGACGGGGTCTCGCTCTTGCTCCAGGCTGTTTTAAACCCCCGCTTGACAATCCGCCGCCTCGGCCCTCCAAAGACAGGATTCACAGGCGGACGCCACAGCACCCTGGCAAGATTCAGAGATTTGAAATAGCCTGAGCAGAGTGAGGCCGATCTTACTAAAACTAGAAAGAAATTATTGGCCAACTAAAAATATGATACGAAAAATAGCCGGGCATGTGGCTCATGCTGTAGTCGCCAGCTACTCGCAAGCTGAGGCAGAAGGATCGCTTGAGCCCAAGAGGATTGAGGTTGCTGTGAGTTAGGCTGATGCTGTGGCACTCTAGCCAGGGCAACAGAGTGAGACTCTCTCTCAAAAAAGAAAGAAAGAAAAGAAACTCTTTGCCACCTAGAGATAAAGGTCATTCTAAAATTTTACAAATTAAAAGGAGAAAATAAGTGATTATCTGGCCGTAGGGGCTGTCGCAGAGGGAGGCTACTTACTACTCCCTGGAGGCACTGGGCTCCCTTCTTTTTCCCTCTTTTCCTCTTATTAACCAGGGACAGAAACTAAAAGCCTCAGCTTCAGGCTAAACTCCTAAAGAAGAAAAGAAAAAAAAAATAAGGGAGAATGCCACTTTAGGCCACTACAAGGCCAAGAAGAAAAAATAGAGGAACTTTAAGTACTGAGCAAATAGAACAAACATAATGCTAGATTACTTACCGATTTATTAATAAGCCCCTAGATACAGGGGAAAATGAAAGATCATTAATTACATATTTTTACTATATTATGGATTATGTATGTATTTTCCATGATCTGATTCCATAAGAAATTCCAAATTCATATGCTAATTTATATACCAAATAATTCATATAACACAAAGATTAAAAGGACACTGGCTGGCTTTTGTGCTTCTACAACATAGGCTCTAATTTAGCTCTAACTTTTGCTAAACTGCACTAATTAACAAAAATTCATAGATTTCATTAGCACTGGGATTCAAATTAACAGGGGATCCTACTAAATTTAAACACTTTGCTCCTATAGTCTTGAGAAAGTAACTAAATATACAAAATATTAAGCAAATGAGTGCCTCACTTTAACTGTAGCCTTGGCCTAAATTGCCCACAGTCAGGCACCATTTCTGTAAAATAGTCATGTTGGACATGGATACTCCGACACAATACATACAGTTTTTGGTACTTACATAATGGGCTTAATAAAATGGACCCATGAACCCCAACTTTTAATATGATCCAGTGTAAATCAAAGCAGAGCCTTTAAGGATGAAAACCTATTACCTAAGACCTAATTAATATAGGGGTGATTACCCTCACTGCTTCTCCATTTAACAGCCCAATTTTGCCTACTCAGAAGTCTGACTACAAAACCCCCAGAGAGCCATATAAAGGGTGTCTAATGACGGATTACTACAACTGAATGCTGTGGTCCTATCCATCATGGCCCCAAACTTAATACAGAATATTAACATTGCTGATTCTATTCAGTCAACAACTGTAAGTATTGCTCTTACAGATTTGGCTAGCCTGTTCTGTTCAGTGCCATAGACTTTCTTTCTTTTTTTTTTTTGAGACAGAGTCTCACTTTGTTGTCCAGGCTAGAGTGAGTGCCGTGGCTGTCAGCCTAGCTCACAGCAACCGTCCAACTCCTAAGCTC